ACAAGTAAAATGACTGAAGCAGATATACCTAAGACAGCATTTAGTTATGGCCAAGGTCTCTGGCAATATCGTGTGATGCCATTCGGGCTTAGCAATGCTCCAGCAACATTTGAAAGGCTGATTGAAAGAGTATTAGAAAGCCTACAATGGAGGATAGCCCTAGTGTACCTGGACGATGTCATTGTATTTGCAACAACTTTTGATGAGGAAATGTCCCGGCTAGAGGAATTATTCAAGCGTTTGAAAGCAGCAAACCTCAAACTCCATCCCAAGAAATGCCAATTGTTCCAGAAAGAGGTGCTTTACTTAGGTCACATTGTAAGTGAGCATAGTGTGCAAACTGATCCTGACAAGGTAAAAGCAGTGCGTGACTGGCCAACACCAGACAATGTGAGAGAGTTAAGAAGTTTCTAGGGACTCTGTACATATTACCGGAAGTTTGTGAAGGACTTTGTAACTATAGCTGCTCTACTACAAGATTTGACTAAAAAAAGACATAAATTTGAGTGGACAGTTTCTTGCCAACATTCTTTCAAAACATTGAAAGAAAAATTTGCCTCTGCTCCACTTTTAAAGCTTCCAGATCCCTCATTTCTGCACATACTGGATTGTGATGCTAGTAATGTCGGAATTGGAGGAGTGTTGTCTCAGAAAGTGGGCGAAAACGAACATGTGGTGTCCTACTTCAGTAGGGTTTTGAGTAGACCAGAGAGGAACTATTGTGTAACACAGAGGGAACTCCTTGCTATAGTAAAGAGTCTGACATATTTCCATCCTTACCTCTATGGTGCAAGGTTTACCATCAGAACAGACCATGCTGTGTTACGCTGGTTAAGATCATTAAGGAACCCAGAGGGACAACTGGCACATTGGATTGGAAAGATAGACCAGTATAATTATGATACTGAATACAGAGAGGGAAAATCTCCTGGTAATGTCAATGGGCTGAGCCGAAGACCCTGCAAAAATGACTGCAGACATTGCTGCAAAAGAGAGGTTGAACTAACCATGTGCCATCAAGCTGAAGTCAAAGTGACTGAAAGATTTGATGATGACGAAGTGGAACCAAGTATCGGTATTAAAGCAGAGCAGGAGAAAGATCAAGATTTGAAGCCAATAATTGATTTTTAAAGCAAGTGTTTCGCACCCTTCTTGGGAGAAGGTGTCTAGTCTAATCCCTGTGACAAAGAACTATTGGGCACAATGAGACCAGTTAAAGCTTGAAGATGGTATTCTTCTCCGGAGATGGAAAACTACAGATGGGAAATTGACGACTTGGCAAATGGTTATACCGAGAAAGTTACGGGAAGTTGTGCTGCGTCAATCCCATGATACTTTAACAGGAGGACATCTCGGAGTTAAGAAGACATTGAGTCACCTATGACTGAGATTTTACTGGATAAGTATGAGGCAAGATGCGGAAGAATGGTGCAGAACATGCAGTACATGTTGTGCTAAAAGGGGATCCAAGCATAAGGGACGTGCTCCAATGAAGTTATATCAAGTTGGCTCGCCAATGGAAAGAGTAGCCATTGACATTGCTGTTCCTTTGCCTCAAACTCGTGCTGGAAACAAGTACATTTGTGTGGTGATGGATTATTTCACTAA